GGTCCCGGGAACTGCCAAGTATTCCCAGCAGTCTGAACAGCTTTAAACCCATAGACCAGATGACCAATATCTAACAGATCATCTTATATCCAGAAGTCTGCATCAGTCTGATTTATGGTAGAAGTCCTGAAGAGTAGGTTCCTGCTTGTAAAATGATTGGTCGCGCCATGTTTTTTTTTAAAAGAATCAGCATTGGGCAAACTCCCTGACTGCAGAAAGTGTAGAGTTATTCACAGAACAGTGATTCTGAAAATCCTTCACAATAAATGGTGATTATTGTGGCTTTAGAAAGTCACCTAGATTGTTTCAATATACTTTCCCAGACTGGTAAAATGCACACCCTTCACTACTAAGGAAAATTGAGAAAATTGTTTTTCTTGTTAAATAGAAATGGTTATGAGCACTGCTGTGAGAAAGATTTCTCTCCTCCCCCCCCCCCCCCCCCCCCAGCTGATTTGAAACAGATTTTCTTTCAGGTAAGGAAGAAAAGGTTGTTTCAAATTAAATGAAATGCTTTGTTCTCAGATTACCTAAATCCCCTATAAACACTGGGCAACCTTGACATGAAAAGTCAGAACATTTTATTTAGAAAATACCGAAATTAATATTTTGACATTACTAAAACCAGTTTCCTATTACTTTGGTTTTCCTTTGGCCATAATTGTTAGTACAGTTTGACCCAAATTAACAAGTCCTTTGGTTTCCTACCATAAATGCATTCTTAGCAAATCTACATTTCAGTGTAGAACTATTACCTAACCGAAGTTACAAGAGCAGCCTGTTCACAGTAGTAGCTGGTTGCTACTGTGTGGTGCAGTCCCGTCGCCGCAAGAACGGCCAGCCAGTCGGGAAGGGCAATTAAAACTAAGTTGTGAAGCAAACAAGATAAGCCGTAAAGAGTAGAAAGGATCTTCATGGAAAACGGGGTTAGTCTATTGATTAGGAACTCTGACTGCACAGTCAGCAGTTTTCTCATTCCTGTTTAATATGATTGGAAATTAGGCTGCATCCAGATAAGTTAATGGGAAATCACTATCTGAAAAAGAGGCCAAGGTGAAATATTAAAGTTCTCTGGGAAGGTGCAGAGGGATGGTAATCATTCAGTAAAGAGACATAACATTGAATTTAGTTAAGAAAGATGGAATATACAAATCCAGTACAGATCTGGGCACCTTAGTCAGCTATCAAAAAAATACAATATGCCATTCTCAATCATAGGGCTACCCACCAGCCACTGACACAATGAGGAAGTGGGAAAACAGGACAAACATTTAATAAAGGGCAGAAATTGAAGTGTGCATCCTCATAGCTCTAGCACTGCACTCTGAGAAATGGCAAGAGAGAAACTTTGGAGTTAAAGAAAAAAAAAAGCTTTGATGGGAGTCTGGAAGAACATACATACCTAGATGTAAACCTCTGTTTCTGAAAACCGTCCAGCCATTTCAGGACACTGAAATCTTCTCATTTGTCTAAGACTAAAATACATTTTTCCCCACTATACTCCAAAAAGCAACCAGCCACCTTTACAAGGATAATCATCCTCTGCCACTGGCCACCCCCACCTCTTTTTGTTTTACAGCTCTCTCATTTCACATCTACTCAGACACAAACTGAAGGTGCATTGGCCCAGAGAAAACATAACACTCGAGTCTAGTGGGATGGAGAATGATGTACAAGAAAAACATGCGAGATCCTACTCATCTTCCAGGGTCATTTCTGCATCTTATGCAGCTCTAGGATAAAACACACAAAGCAACTGTGGAAGCCCTATGGAGCATTGCCATATGATAATTTTTGCTCATAAAGCAATATCAGAGAATCACGTGTGCTACACCAGCTAAAAAACCCTTTGCAAGAGCACTAAACTCTGGGCAGCTCCTGAGACCCAGGACTGAGTTCAGACTCCCTACAAATCCCACACAGACTCGTGGCAATCAGGGCCACAGCTCTTTTTCAGAAGATGCTCGCTTTGAATATCAACAGGGGTGCCCACAGCATCCTCCTGGCAATTGATGCAACACCGACTGTTATTGGGCCTTGGCTGCCATTATCTACAGCAGTTAGATGGGGCTGTACGAAGGCTACACAGGCAATGAAACTGGAAAATCCTGAGCCTCTAACCAGAAACTCCTCTCAGAAAATCTTCACCCAATATTTTAAGACGCTGATCACAAACAAGCAATGCCTTGCAGTCAGACCCTCCAACAAGAAGCGTAATTCAGGGTATAATCTTTCCTTGTAAAGAAAGGAGAATTGATCAGTTGGTATGCTTTAGGCAACTAACTGATTTTTTTTTTATTATTTTATTTTTTAAAAAAGGAAATCCAGCATATTTAAGAATAGCAAACTTACTAATTAAGCTGCTAATCTTATTTCTATTCTTAATTAAAAAAAAAAGAAGTAGGAGAGAGAAGTCTGTGCTTACGTACAGTGGTGCAGGCACAATTAGAAATTATGCAGAAAGAAACAATTCACAAGACAGGCACAAAGCAAAAAAGAATATTCTTTCTAGCACTGAAATGAAAGCCAATGAGCCCACATTCGTGCAAACAGGATCAGATTTGGTCCATATTGTACAACTGCAACATGTCCTCCATCCAAAACATGAGCAAAGAGCAAGTTAGCTGGTTAACTAGTACTGCCAGGTACTACTGTTGGTCCCTAAAACAACAACAGCAGAAGCACATCTAAATTGGATGCAGCAGCATTTGCCAAACTGTATTCAGATATCTTTATGACATCACTTTTAGGAATACTACCTTTCAGAACTGGAATGACAGTGATAGCTTTGAACATGGTGCCATTAATATTTTCAGACCAGCATCAACCTTGCTCAAAGGCAGCACAGTCTTCAGGACAAGCCTGTGTCTTTTCTAAAAGGTACATCAATAGCAGCCTGTGGGGAAACTAATGTTTAAAAAGGGTTTAAACGAAGAGTGCCAAACCTGATGGAGCAGCATGGAAACATAAGAGAAAGGTATGGCTAGGTGCTCTTGTGCTGGGAAGGGAGAAGAGTGAAAAGGGGGAGGATGGATTTCAAAAACGATGCTACGTCATACAGGAGCCATAAAATATTACTATGGGAAAGGCAAAGAAAATTAAAGGCCAACAGCAGTCTTGGAAGATTCAGCAATAAAGCAAGCCAAGGGATTCTGTACCTTGGCTGATGAAGCAACTGAAAATGCCTTTGAATGCAGCTTGCGCATGGATTGCTAGAAGAAGCTCAAGAAGCTCTAACTTTTTTTTTCCTTTTTCAGAGAAAACATCCAACCTCCTTCCACTCCACTAATCCCATCACAAGGAAATCACTCTATTTTCTAAATTGATCTATGTTCAGTATAAACAAATTCTATGTGCCACCATCTTCAGAACTCAACTGCAGTTCATCCTTGTTGTTGCCACTTTGTATTTTCATGAAGAAACAGAACAGAGAAGAAAAACAAAAATATTTTCATGCTCATCATTTAGGTAAAAACCAAAAGAAACAAAACAAAAAAAAAAAAACCCCCAAACCTTTTTTTTTTTTTTCCTTTCTGCTACATAGGTTCTGAACAAAAATTAAGACACAACCCTCCCCGGTTTCCACCATCTTATTTCAGCTACAATTTACCAAACTGCAAAAGTTAGAAAACAAGGAAGCTAAGGGGGAAACAGGAATATCTGAAAGATCACAGGACATATTTCATTCAGTATCCCCCCTTCCCTCAAGAGTTTATCACCTCTCAGAGATGTGTCTAACCTAAAGGCATTAATTGTTTCTAACTGCCAGAACTGTCACTCATTCATAACACGTTAGCACACAGGATTTTTTTAACAACTCCTGCTACACATAATTTCATTTGTGATGCATACTTTCATTTTTGTTTTAAATTCTAAATTATTTCCAAGAAATGATACGAAGGGTGAGTACTTCACCTGTGGATTTTTTTTTTTAATTATTTTTATTTTTTAAAAAGTCAGGTGAACAGCTGGACTACAACTCAAACACCAACTAAAAAAACCCAAACCCTGAATACTAGTAATTAGTACAGGGAATGGCTTATGCATTCCTTATTAGCGAAACATACCCTCCCGTCCCACTCCATGCCTAAAATGAAGAATTTTATACTTTTAAACAGGTAAATCAGAACTATCATTTATGTAATAGCAAATATGCAAACCAGAATACCTTTCACTTACATCTCTGGATTTGCTGCCTTTTGGTTAATAATGTAAACACACACACCAACTGTTAACAGATAACATGCAGATTTGTAAGTTACCATTAACGGCTCAGTAGTCCTATTCAATAAGAAAGGGATTGCGTATCTGAAAAACCTGTTGCCTTTAAAAATGAAAAAATTAGTAACACAGTAATCTTCAGTGCATGGCATTTGCATAAAATTAAATATGGACTCAATCAAGGCAACTCTATATTCACACGAGCGGTCCTGTTCAAGTAACCAGCATCACTTGCATAAGTAATATCCCGTAGTTTGCATTTTAAATTAAGGCATCTTAATTTGGTTGGTTCTACAACAAATAACTGATACACCTTTTGATTTATGCCTGTTGGAACACTTCTGCTAAATCTATAAGCTTCAGACTGCCTTAATAACAACTTGTAATTAAAATAACACAGACAACCTTTTCCTCGGTAAATGTTTTACCCCATCACTTGAAGATCGATTTGGAAGTCACTTTATTGTGTAGCTTTTGTCAAAGCCTTTTTTTCCCCTAAAACAATAATCCAATAAAAACAAATGAAAACAAGAAACAAAACCACTATTTCATGCCTTTATAACTGTACGTTTCCATTCCAGTAATAACTTGAATTTGTGCTTTTAACTCACTTAGGAAATGCCATCATCATAAACTGCACATTGCTCAGGACTCTCACTACTTAATTAGCTGCTAAAGCACTGTGAAGGAGCTGACGTTGTATTAGAAGAGAAGCAAAACGAGCCAAACCCCACGCATCCCCAACCCTCTTACTCACAAGCGTTTGTGTAAGCCCTTACCTGCTGGGTAACGTTCGATAACTGGCCAGTTGTCCACCTGTAACGTGGCATTGCCACCACTTCTTGTGAAACGTACTACATGGTATTTTCCATCATTAATGATTGCGTTGATCTCTTCGATTGAGATGTCATCAGTTCCAACATTAAACTTAACTCCAATTTTTCCCTGGTGCTGCATATTTAAAAAAAAAAAAGAAAAAGAGGAAGAAGAAAAAGAAGAACTAATTAAGAGTTGTTTTAGCAAGAAATAGAGACAGTGTGTCATACAGGGAAAGATTTCTAACAACATCTTCCCTCCTTAGATGTAACTTCTGAAGGCTTGCATGTGGCAGTGACAAGCCTCCTGACAGCTCAGTAAGTCCGAGACGTCTCTTTGATGGATAATTGATATTCCAAATGAGTTGTTTCACCAAATTGAGTTCTCTCCTTTTCTGAGAGATTCATACCAAGATGAGGAGGGGGGAAGGAGGAGGAAAGCTCAAGTTTTCTTTCTTCGTCCCCTCCCTCACCTCCATGAGGATTAAACACCATTTTTTCCTTTTAGGCTTTCAAAGTGGAAAGCCTTGCAGTGTCACTTGGAAGAGGTATGGGATTTTCTGGCTACAAAAGCCAAGGCCCAGCCCTGTCTCTCCTTTCTCCAAACCTCATTCATAGTCAGAGTCTTCACAATTGATAACAAAGGAGGAAACTTTTTTTTTTCTCTAATAGAGATATTTTTTTCATCACATTGTAGTAGCTCCGAATCATTAAAACAAGAACAGACCAATTGACTAACAAGGAATTTCCTGATCAGAGCCAGAGAGAGGGGCAGAAAGGCATTTGTGACACAGGGACAGCATCTTGTTCCCACTAAGGACCGAGACTCTGATATTTTTGCTGGGATTTGCCTGTAAGCTCCTGTACCTGAGCACGCCTAGGGCTAAGGGGACTTCACATGCACATTCATACTCAGGACCAAGGCTGTAGATTTCCCAGATGATTGTGATATTAGCATGTTTTCATTTTTATTGTCTTTTAATTATTAATATGTTCACTCTAATGGGACATTTTATTTTTAACATTACATTTTAACAAAGTCTTTTAATGTCTACTAAAAGTTTAACTTAAGGGCTTCATGATATTTTTTTTCCTCCTATAAGATCAATTCTATTCCTGAATAAGGACACTTATTACATTAAGGAGAAAAAAAGAAAAGCACTGCACAGTGTGAGATTAGGGGATTGTGCATAATAAGTGGCAATTCTATGTGAAATTCATTGTCATTGGTACTGGTACATCCTTCCTAAGAGTTAAAAAAATTCTTTAGGTTTTTACACTACCAGATGAAACACAATGAAACATTTCACTTTGTACCTCCTGGTCATTCACGTCAATCTTTCCAGAACCAGCTTCACCTCTCCCACGTAGCTTTTGTGTCTGCTCCCTCTTTCTCTTACTACCCTGGCACCACTCCCTGTAAGTAAGCGTATCCTGCAGCTCCTCGTCTCTGGAAGTCTCCCAAGTGAAGAACTCAGGAGTTCTTGCACTTTATTTTACTCTCTTTTTAAATACCTGACTTCATTTTCCAATAGTGCTTGTGTATTCCAGTTACACAGTTGAGCAGCTGCTGAACACCTTTGGAGAAAGTCCCTCAACACTTTGGCACTACACCATCACCTCTCCAGGTATGATCTTTTTTAAAACAGTAAAAGGACCATTCCCTGCTGAGATTTGCAGAATGACTCTGAAAAGTATTTTTTATTTGCTCAGTTGCTTAAATCATGTTCTAAACACTCCTTTTTTTTCCTTGCAGATTGTTCTAACATTTCTCTATTGGTTTTTCCATGCCTACAGGGTGTCAATAAGGGATCCCTCTCATCCAGCACATGCTCACCTTCTTTTGCCTCTCGTGTGGGTTGCAGAGCAATCTCCCAGTAACTGTAGCTCTATTTTATTTCAACTGGTTTAACTATGACTCAGAACAGATTTCACCCATTTTCTCCCATAGATGCAGTAGCTTATTTGCTTCACCTGTTTCATTCATATGCTTACTCTCTTTATACAGAAATGTATACAAAGGAATATAAGATTGTCCTGGCTCTAAAGCAATCTCCTCTTTTACTAATTTATGAAATGCAGAAAAACAGCATGTAATGATAATGGCATATGCACCTTTTCACAATACTTTCAAGAAGTCAAAGGCTTTGAGGACTAAAAAAAGCTGACTAATTTTACTGTGATTCATAATTATACTATTCATAACCTACACTTTACATACCTGCTTTCCTATTTGCTATATATATGTATATACATATATTATTTTAGATCAAAAAATGACAAGGAAAAAAACCACCTTTGAGTGACTAGGACAGGTGCAGGCAAAATGAAGTGGCATAAAAGGCAAATATATATTAGCAGCTTCTCCAAAATAAGAGAACGTGGTGTTGCAATGGTTACCAAGTTACCATTTGTAAATGGCCAGGTATTGGCAAGTGAAATGAATGCTTTACAGACTTGAAGGCAGACCTTTAGCCTTACTTGATACATATATATACTTTTTAGTGAAAAAAACAACTTTCCCTGACTTCCCTACATTCGTACAGAAGTACTGTGCACAGACACCAAGCATACAGCTGCAATAGCAAAGAATATCACCCTAATAGTTGATAACATACTATAGTGATTTTTTTGGCTCTATTTCTAATATATTTGTGTAGCTGAGAACATGAAAAACTCCATAATTAAAGGATACGTTTCAATTTTTCACACTTCTTCAGCACCTGTGGGCATTTATGTAACCTCCCATAAAAGAAGGAAGCAAATCTGGCTTTCAAGTTTAAGTCTTCCTTATTCTTATATCCATATTTGACTTCTGAATATCACGCTAAACATGATACGGACTACAACCCCATTGTGCACAGCCCTTTAGAACCACAAAATAAAATATGATGCAAAGACCTGACAGTACATGGGCCCAGACAGATGATGACACTACCACAAAGCAGTAAGTCACCATGTATCAGCTGAGTTGCAATAAGCACCTCTGTATGTACATAGCGGGTTTTTTAAGTCCTTGCATAATCATGCAGTAGTTTGACTCACTGTACTCCTCCTTCACTGCAAGATAACATAAGTCACATTATATGTCATCTGCCATTGGTTAAGACCATGTGCACATACAGTTATTTTGGTTCAGCTGATGTACAGTAACCTGTTGAGATAATCTGATCTCAGCCCTCAGCCCTGTGATGCTTAATATAATGGGCCTGTAGTCCGTTAGGAAGAACTGCTTTTTATTTTTCCTTCTCCTTCTTTTTGCAGCAACATGATAGTGCAGAAAGGGAAGAGACTGATAAAACTGAAGCACACTAAATTACTATTTCTGCTTTGCCAGTCAGTTGCATAGTGCGGCAGTAGTAGAAATTTTCCATTATCACTTGTTCATTCATAATAATCTTGAAGTTATTTTTCCTATCAGAAACGGCCTCAGACAAATGTTGAATGAGAGGTTCCCTTTTCAGCACCCTGACAATGGGCACTATAGAAATGTCAATGCATTACTAAGTACAGCAATAAGTCAACATTACTGTTGAATGATGTTATCCTTGCCAGTGACCTGAAATAGTGCAGCATTTCAGGCTCATATTTCTGGGAAGTTATGTTTGCCCCCTAGAAAAGATGTTAATTTCAGAGCTCCTCTGGTAAAAATCAGCTCTGTACAGAGGGCCCATAGAAATCCACCGTGCTGTTTATGTTTTTTAGCCAGTGTTTTATTTTTCTCAATCTCACCCAGTTGTGAGAGAACATAGCAATGAAATCAATTCCTTTTCCTACACTGCCTTTATCTAATCTGAACTGGGGAGGCCACAATAACAGAGTGGAGACATGGAGGAGATGGGAGAGTCTCCAATATTATTTCCAAGAGAGGCCAGAAAAGAGGACACACCTTCAGGAGAATAGCAAAGCATTTCAAGAAGTAGCGTAAATGTTGTTCTCTGTCTCTGGAAATTATTTTGAACTTCAGATCAGAAAGTGCTATGAATACTGCTACAACCATCACATCACCACCATCGCTCCCTGGGACAAAGCAGCGCAGGGACCTCTGATTCACCTACAGACAAGCTACCTGACACTCTGAGCCCCAACCAGCAGCTCTTCAGAAAAGCTAAACTTTTGGTTTGGAGGTGCTTTGGCCATGTAGCTCTCCTGTTTCTGAGGCCAGGGTGACTTTCTCCCCACAGTACCACACAGGCAGATAAGCTCATTTAGTGTTACCCAACGTACCCCTACACGTTACTGCAACGTGCAATGTAGGCTTTGCCTACAGTTTAACCTCTGCTGTCCAGCCACTTGTAGGAGTCCAAGCTCACAAGGTAAGGATAAATATGTTAATGCCTTCAAAGCAGTTGGATAAAAACATGAGCTATACATGCTTAGCTCCAACCCTATGTTCCTAATGTGCTCTGAAACACTAGGAGTTTTGATTGTTCAGACAGTATAGGCGTGTGTGCATTGCATGCATATATACCAATCATTTCAAAACATTTTGTCTTCAAAAGCACTGGCAGCTACTATTGTAATCCAGCAACTCCAGGGGATTATTTTCAAGTATGTTTTATGAATTGTGTACTCTAAATACTTCTACCTTGGCTTTAACAGGCTTCTGATGAAGCACCGAGAACGCTGATGAACCCGAGAACCAAGCGAGAAATGTGAAATGCCAATCAAGCCAACAGCTGACAGTGCAATTTGTTCCCTGTTGGACCCTAGTCCAGTGCTACTGATTTGCCGACTCCAAATGCTGTAAAACCTATGCTAGTATAAAATATATATATATGTATCTCCAGAATAATGATATTTCCTATAGCATCAGCAAGGTTTTACTGCTCTCTGTAGTAATAATTCTGGAATCAGTCTAACATGAGTGTGTGCAAAATTGGCACAAGAGTAGTTTTAGAAGAGACCACAGACAACCTAAGCTCATAACACTTTAACAACCTTTAACCATTCCCAAAGAAAAGTAATAAAATCGTGACTTCCACAGGTGAACAAATAGAGGAAAAAAAAACCCAAGCGTACCAGCTTGCATTTTAGTGTCAGTCCCTGAGGCACAACTTTCTGGTGAATACAATAACAAAGTCTTAGAAGTAACTGATGGTTGACTTTGATTTTATTGAAGAATAAATTTCTTAA